CCACATTGGCTACACTCATAAGGCCTTTCTCCCGTGTGAATTCTCCTGTGTTTGATGAGTGTATAGCTGTAAGTAAAGCATTTCCCACATTCACTGCACTCATAAGGCCTTTCCCCTGTGTGAACTCTCTGGTGTTTTAAGAAACTAGAATTGTGAGTAAAGAATTTCCCACATTCACTGCACTCATAAGGCCTTTCTCCAGTGTGAATTCTCTGATGCTCAAGAAGCACAGAGCTTTGGCTAAAACATTTCCCGCATTCGCTGCACTTAAAAGGCTTTTCTCCACTATGAACTCTGGAGTGATCAATCAGGCGAGACTTTAGGGTAAAGGATTTTCCACATTCACTGCAGGCATAGGGCCTGGACCCAGAGTGAACTCTCTGGTGTTTTATGAGACTGGAGTTGTAGGTAAAGAACTTCCCACATTCACTGCACTCATATGGCTTTTCCCCTGTGTGAACACTCCGGTGTTGAAGAAGTGCGGAGCTTTGGCTAAAGGACTTCCCACATTCCCCACACTCATAAGGCCTTTCTCCAGTGTGAACTCTTTGATGTTTAATGAGGTTGGACTTGTTGCTAAATAATTTTCCACACAACTCACACTTGTGAGGCTCCACTCTGGCGTGAACTCTCTGGTGTTGAATGAGGCTAGAGCTCTGCCTAAAGGACTTCCCACATTCCCCGCACTCATAAGGCTTTTCCCCAGTGTGAACTCTCCAATGGTCATTCAGACTATAGCTTTTGCTGTAAGATTTTCCACATTCATTGCTCACGTGGCATGTTTCTTGGATGAGGACTCTCTGGTCTTGAACAAGCTTGCGTTTGCAATTAAAATCTTTAGTGTATTCTGAGTCAGACAGAGTTCTTTCCTTATGAGAGGCTGTTCCGCACTCCGTTCCCTGGTTTGACTTCTCCCTGGTGTGTGCGGTCTGATGCTGGAGGAATCTTGAGCTGGCCATGAAGTCCCTCACAACCGCCTCACAGGAATCGGGCTGCCCTGACACACAGAATCTGCAGTCCTTTCCAAAGAAGGCTCTATCCATGCAGCCTCTGAAGCACATCTCTCCCGTGTGCTGCTTCTGATGCTCAAGTTCCACGCTAACATCCAACTGTTTCTCACAGGCCCCTGTCTTATACAGGGTCTGCCTACGGTGCCCAGTGAAGTGCAAAATGTCTCTCACGTCA